TGTCTTCTCTTTGACCTTCAGACATCACCTTTGACTGTTAACTTGACACCTGCACCTGGTTGTATTACACGAGGTATCTCAAAACTAATATAGCCAAATAAGAACTCTAAATTTCTGCTCCATGTTGTGCTTTGCCACAATCTCAAGCCCCAAGCTTCCTCAGCTCTGTGCATGGTATTGCCATTTGATCAAGAAAAACCTAGAAGTCATCCTTGAGTTCTTTTTCCTCGTCACCTTTTCCTCCTTGCCTGTCTACTCTGTCCACAAATCCTCTAGGTTCTTGCTCTAAATATACCTCTTATTTACCCACTTCTGCCACTCAAACCAAGCGATGATCATTTCTTTTTATTTCTTTAAACCACTTAATTTTTTTATTGTGGTAAGTATATAAAAAGTTACCATTTCAGCCATTTTCAAATGTACAGTTTAGAGGAATCAAGTACAGACATTATTGTGCAACATCACCGTCATCCATCTCCAGAACTTATCCATATTCCTGCACTGACTCTCTTATTAGTCAATAATCACTTTCCAGTTTCCCTTGCTACAGCTCCTGGTAACCACCATTCTACTTTCTGTTTCTATGAATTTGATTAGTTCAGGTCAAACCTCATGTAAGTGGAATCATATATTTGTCCTTTTGTGTCTGGCTTATTTCACTTAGCATAATATCCTCAAGGTTCATCCAGGTCAGAATTTTCCTCCTTTATAAAGCTGAATAAGATTCCATTCTACATATACCACATTCTGCTTATCCATTCATCCATGCAGGGCCACTTTCTTCTGCCTTTTGAATATTGCGAACAATGCTGCTTCTTGCCTGATCTTTGCTTCCCCTCTTTCTCCCTAAAATCTATTTGCCTCAATGGTAGTCAGAGTGATCTAAAAATGTGACTCAGATCATGTCACTGCTGTGCTTCGTATCTTCCAATGACTTCCAACTGCACTTGGTGAAACCTGAACACCTCACCACACAGTCTTTTGCCTGTCCAAGTACTTCAGTCTCCTTCCCTGCTCACTATTTCCAGTCACAAACCTTCCTGTGATTTTCAAATGGGACAGGCTTCCTTGTCTAAGGGTGTTCGCCCACACTGTCCCTCTGCATGGTGTTCAGCCCCTTCACCTACATCTTTGCTGTCTGTCACCTTCTTTGGGCACATAATCTAAAGTGCCCCCTCTCCCAACCACATTGCTCTCTTCTCTTTTCTCCATAGCTATCACTATTGAAAATGAACATACTGAGTGATTGGTTTATTTTGCCATTTTCTGCCTCCCCATTTTAGCTCATTATTAACCAGGGGATTTTTGTAGAAACTAATGCCTGTGGCTGGCAATTTGTATGTTGGCCAGCCCCAAATTAATTCTGTTATTTTACTAACACTTTGCAGGTTATTACATTTGATAGTTACACCTGACATACCTGCAAAGTCTTTTGATTTTTGTGAAATGTTGTCTTCAATTCACTCTTTGTGGAAGCAAAGGAACATTCTCCAACATCGTTGCATTTTCTGGATCAGAATCAACCATGAAGGTGTGTGTGTGTGGTTTTTTTTTTTTTTTGGTCTTTTTGTTGGACTAATATTCAGACTATCTGAATCAGAACTATATTCTGAAGAACTTTCATCTTCTGAGACACTAGACAGGAGTCCCTAACCTCTGGAATCTAATGCCTGATGATCAGCAGTGGAGCTGATGTAATAACAATTTATTGTGTACAAGTACATAATAAATGCAAAGTGCTTGAATCACCCCCAGACAATCCCTACCTCCCCCCTGCCCCCCGCTGCCCAGTCCATGGGAAAATTGTCTTCCACGAAACTGGTCCCTGGTGCCAAAAAGTGTGGGGACTGCTGCACTAGTGTATGGATTTCCCTGGTAGCTCAGTGGTGAAAGACTCCACCAGCCAAAGCAGGAGTCACGGGAGATGCTGGTTCGATCCTCAGGTCAGGAAGACCCCCTGAAGGAGGAAATGGCAACCCACTACAGTATTCTTGCCTGGAGAATCCCATGAACAGAGGAGCCTGGCAGGCTATAGTCCATGGGGTTGCAAAGAGTTGGACATGAGAATATATGTTGCTTGGACAAGTACCGAAAGTTATCTGCATAAAACTCACGAAAAAAATCTTCACTCAAAATTTCACAATGCATCATTTTTGGAAAATTTTATGTTTATAATATACACAAAGTCTGGGAAAAAACCTAATGAAGCAAAATGTGAATGATGACAACAGTCATAAATTGTATAATGAACTGTGATCAATTTAAGCTTTAACAACTTTGCTCAGTGATGTTAATTGTATTATTCTCTAAAAATGTATTGATACAGCTCTGATCAATAATGTTTGGGTTACAAAAGACATATTAATACACCTCTCATCAGTAATGTGTTTGTATGTGCCACTACTGACCTATGGATAGGATAATGCCCAGTGTGACCAAATGAATTGAAAACTGGGAAACTGAACAATTAGAGTCAGTTGTCTGCTTCTTTTTATGCTTCTGTGGTATGAAAAGTGAAAGTGTTAGTCACTCAGTCTTGTCTGACTCTTTGTGACCCTGTGGACTATAGCCTGCCAGGCTCTTTTGTCCATGCGATTTCCCAGGCAAGAATACTGGATCGTGTAGCCATTCCCTTTTCCAGGGGATCTTCCTAGGGATCGAACCCAGGTCTCCTGCATTGCAGACAGATTCATTACCATCTGAGCCACAAGCGAAGCCCTTCTGTGGTGTGGCATGTTACTGTTCCAAACACAGTACCTGGGTGGTTGCAAAGGGGCACGTCATACTTCATTATTGAATGCTTTCTGTGATTGCCATGCCTAGATTACAACAGTATGTTACTGCCAGATTAAGACCAAATATCTGAAAAGTGAGCATGGCCCTTGGAAGTACTCAAGACATAACAGATCAATATATTTGGAAGGACATGTCAAAATCAGTATGTAATTTGTATGAGATGACTGTGGACACTCATAGGTGATACCTATTGATCCTTGCTGTTACCGATCACATACTGCTGTCAGGGGAAGAAAATTGTGCACACACTTTTAAACTATGTATATTTATTTACATGTATTGTAAAATATTGAAGAATATTGGTAAAATTAGTAAAACATATTAAATATTGGTACAATTAGGGTTTTTTAATAATAAAAAAATAGAGGTTCTGATGTACTTTTCCTACATATTCTCTGGGATGAATGTCTCCCACTCTTGAGTCCACTGGCCTAATCATGGGCTATGACTTGTGTCAACAGCAAAACTCTCCTCACTGTCACTGATTAATCTTCTGGTCAATATCCTTTGGAGGATAGATTGGTTCGGGTGCTGGTCTCTCTCCTTGAAAAAGAGGGAGAACCGTTTCTGGTCTCTGGTATGTTCTATTTTGTTGTTGTTGTTGAGTGCAGTTATTAATATTACAGACTTAATTTTCTTCATACCCTCCTGCTGGATATAATAGCCATTGCTTTCTTTTCTTAAATCAAAGGAGCCTTGGTTTTCTTTTTTTTGTTTGTTTCAATTGATAAATGGTTGATTTACAATACTATATAAGTTTCAGAGCTTTGATTTTCCAGTATGACACTAGGCAAGGTTTTTATACAGTCTATCCGTCATTCAGATATACTGCCACTGGAGAATGTTCAGCTCATACTTTGTCATACTTATAATTTATGTAGAGAAATCTGGCTTTCAGAATAAGAATGCTTTATATTGAAGAGATTAGTTGAAAGATGCATATGTATTTCACCCACTGTTTATAAAATTTATTCTAATAAATATGACTAGCTTCATTAAAGAAATAGAGGAGTATAAAGGCCAACTTTTTTTTATTGAATTGTACTGTAAGTTGCCAATGGGGACGTTTGGAATAGCGATTGTCATTTGCTCAATGAATTGATTTTCCAATTATGTTCTTTTAAAATTAAGAGAAAAAGTCATATTCTTCACCTCACAGCATTAGAATTATCACTGTATGTGCAGATTGTCTGAACAGTTGCCATCAAATTGAAAATTTCCTTTTTCCATGAGCTTTTGGAAGTGGGTCTTGCCATTTCAAGTAGAGGAAGAGAAGAATAAGCGAAGTTTCCTTCATGGGAGGCCAGGTCTGTCCTTGGCTCTGTCTCTTGCTAGTATGTGATCTCCAGCAGGTCACCTCACTCTCTAGTATGGCTGTTGTTTTATCCATTGACTAGACACAGTAATTCCTGTTCCCTTTACCCATTTTCAGGACGTGCCTTCGATCTGTAGGAAGATGCATGGAAATGACTGTAGAAGTGAGGAGGTTTTACCATAAAAAATGGCTCACTTGGGAAGAATCACTATGCAAATTAATTTCACATTTTAAAAAAGAATTCTATTTATCTGACTACTCTGGGTCTTTGTTGCTGCATGGGCTTTTCTCTAGTTTCAGTGAGAGGGGGCTGCTCTCTAGTTGGGTGAACGAGCTTCTCATTGGAGAGGCTTCTCTTGTGGAGCAGACTCTAGAGCGCTTGAATTTCAGCAGTTGCAGCACCAGGGCTCAGCCGCTGTGGTCCCCGGGCTCCAGGGCACAGGCTCAGTAGTTGTGGCACAAGGGCTCAGTTGCCCAGCAGGAATGTGGGGTCTTCCCGGATCAGGGATGGAACCCAAGCGTCCTGCATTGGCAGGTGGATTCTTTACCATGGAGCCACCAGGGAAGCCCAAATTTCACATTTAAAGGCTCATTTTCTTTGTTTTATCTACTATTAATGTAATAATAATAATCTACCCATATTTCCAAGTGAATGTTATTTTCAAATAAGAGATTTATAGAAAAATTGTGAAGATAGAGCATCCTTGCATCCCACATCCAGTTTCTTCTTTTATCAACATTTATGATTAGTAATTTTTACATATTTTTAATCACTAAAATTAATATTCTATATCTTCAAGGTCCAAAAAATGGGGATGCCCTGCTTCCTCTTCTGTGATCTCACTTTGATGGGAAACAGTGTATTTGTTGTAAGTAACAGTGTTTTTGCTTATGGCATTTTTTGGCTCCAAATAACAGAAAAGACTAGCTCAACTGGCTTAAAGAGTAAAGAAAATTTATTAGCTGAGATAACAGGAGATGTGGCAGTTTCAAGATAAATACAGGGACTCAGTGACATCATCAGAGTCAGGTTTTTCCCATTTTTCTGCCTCCTCATCCTCAGGGAGTTGGCTTGTCTGTGATCTAGCATTACTCCTGGCTGCCAGATGGCCACAGCTATGCATCCCATCCAGATACAAGCAGCAAAAGAGGAACCACTTCTTTCTTTGTGATTTTGGATCAGCAAGGCAGGCCTTTTCCAGAAGCCCTTCAGCAGACTTTCTCTCAACTGTTTTTGGTCCAAATGCATCATATGCCTATGCCTACACCAGTCACTTGTAAGAGAAGGGAGGTGCCACTCTTAGAGCAACCATGATGTGCCTCTAGGGGTTGGGGCTGAGGTTCTCTTCCTCTGAGAAAGTATATAGCCATCTAGGGGACAGTGGACATCTGAGCAAAAGTAATGCTGGGATAGAAAGGAGGTGTGGTGGTGGTTGTGGTGATTGGCTGGTGAGTAGGCAATTAACAAAGGCAACTACAACAGATAATACTATACTTGTACTATAAAAGTGAGTGGAAGAAATTGAAATAATAAAATAATGAACACTTACTATCTATTTATGACAAACCAGGTGTTATTCTAAGATAGAAATGGGATTCTGTAAATAATATCATCAAGATCTTTTCTAACATGCTTTGAAATAATAAAAATTTGAGGACCTAATATGGCTATTAGGGGCCTTAAAAACTTGCAAAGCTGGCTATTTCACAGATTCTAGGACAATATATGCTAGATAAATATTTGTTGAGTTATGTTGCATGAATATTTTGTCCAAAGCTATGAAACAAGATGTAAGTTTTGCTTCTTTTGCTTGAATATGATTTAATCTTCTAAATTTTGACATTCAATAACATATACATATTTCAAGTATAGCTAACATTATGTTAGTATATTAATATTTTATAAATAATAAATTCAGTTCAGTTCAGTTCAGTTCAATCACTCAGTTGTATCCGACTCTTTGCGACCCCATGGACTGCAGCACACCAGGCCTCCCTGTCCATCACCAACTCCCGGAGTTTACTCAAACTCGTGTCAGTTGAGTCGGTGATGCCAACCAGCCATCTCATCCTCTGTCTTTCCCTTGTCCTCCCACCTTCAATCTTTCCCAGCATCGGAGTCTTTTCCAAGGAGTCAGTTCTTTGCATCAGGTGGCCAAAGTATTGGAGTTTCAGCTTCAGCATCAGTCCTTCCGATGAATATTCAGGACTGATTTCCTTTAGGATGGACTGGTTGGATATCCTTGCTCTCCAAGGGACTCACAAGAGTCTTCTCACAGTTCAAAACCATCACTTCTTCAGTGCTCAGCTTTCTTCATAGTCCAACTCTCACATCCATACATGACTACTGAAAAAACCATAACTTTTGAATAGATGGACCTTTGTTGGCAAAGTAATGTCTCTGTTTTTCACTATGCTGTCTGAGTTGGTCATAACTTTCCTTCCAAGAAGCAAGTGTCTTCTAATTTCATGGCTGCAGTCACCATCTGCAGTGATTTTGGAGCCTCCAAAAGTAAAGTCTGACACTGTTTCCATTGTTTCCCCATCTATTTGTTATGAAGTGATGGGACTGGATGCCATGATCTGAATTCTGTGAATGCTGAGTTTTAAGCCAACTTTTTCACTTTCCTCTTTCACTTTCATCAAGAGGCTCTTTAGTTCTTCCTCACTTTTTGCCATAAGGGTGGTGTCATCTGCATATCTGAGGTTATTGATATTTCTCCCGGAAATCTTGATTCCAGGTTGTGCTTCCTTCAGCCCATCGTTTCTCATGATGTACTCTGCATATAAATTAAATAAGCAGGGTGACAATATACAGCCTTGACATATCCTTTTCCTATTTGGAACCATTGTGTTGTTCCATGTCCAGTTCTAACTGTTGCTTTCTGACCTGCATACAGATTTCTCAAGAGGCAGGTGGTCTAGTATTCCCATCTCTTTAAGAATTTTCCACAGTTTGTTGTGATTCACATAGTCAAAGGCTTTGGCATAGTCAAAAAGCAGAAGTAGATGTTTTTCTGGAACTCTTGCTTTTTCGATGATCCAATGGATGTTGGCAATTTGATCTCTGGTTCCTCTACCTTTTCTAAAACCAGCTTGAACATCTGGAAGTTCACGGTTCACATACTGTTGAAGCCTGGCTCGGAGAATTTTGAGCATTACTTTACTAGCGTGTGAGATGAGTGCAACTGTGCGGTAGTTTGAGCATTCTTTGGCATTGCCTTTCTTTGGGATTGGAATGAAAACTGAACTTTTCCAGTCCTGTGGCCACTGCTGAGTTTTCCAAATTTTCTGGCATATTGAGTACAGCACTTTCACAGCATCATCTTTTAGGATTTGAAATAGCTCAGCTAGAATTCCATCACCTCCACTAGCTCTTTTGTAGTGATGCTTCCTAAGGCCCACTTGACTTCACATTCCAGGATGTCTGGCTCTAGGTGAATGATCACACCATTGTGATTATCTGGGTCATGAAGCTCTTTTCTATACAGTTCTTCTGTGTATTCTTGCCACCTCTTCTTAATATCGTCTGCTTCTGTTAGGTCCATACCATTTCTGTCCTTATTGAGCCCATCTTTGCATGAAATGTTCCCTTGGCATCTCTAATTTTCTTGAAGAGAAATTGTGCAGACTAGAAATTTCTCTAGTCTTTCCCATTCTATTGTTTTCCTCTATTTCTTTGCACTGATCACGGAGGAAGGCTTTCTTATCTCTCCTTGCTATTCTTAGGAACTCTGCATTCAAATGGGTATATCTTTCCTTTTCTCCTTTGCTTTTTGCTTCTCTTCTTTTCTGAGCTATTTGTAAGGCCTCCTCAGACAGCCACTTTGGTTTTTTGCATTTTTTTTCTTGGGGATGGTCTTGATCCCTGTCTCCTGTACAATGTCACGAACCTCTGGCCCATAGTTCATCAGGCACTCTATCAGATCTAGTCCCTTAAATCTATTTCTCACTTCCACTGTATAATCGTAAGGGATTTGATTTAGGTCATACCTGAATGGTCTAGTGGTTTTCCTCACTTTCTCCAATTTAAGAGCATGGCCCCGTCCATCAGAACAAGACCCAGTTTCCCCCTTAGTCAGTCTCTCCCATCAGGAAGCTTCCATAAGCCTCTTATCCTTCTCCATCAGAGGGCAGGCAGACTGAAAATCACAATCACAGAAAACTAACCCATCTGATCACATGGACCACAGCCTTGTCTAAGTCAATGAAACTATGAACCATGCTGTGTAGGGCCATGCAAGATGGACGGGCCATGGTGGAGAGTTCTGACAAAATGTGTTCCACTGGAGAAGGGAAACTGAATATTGAAATAGCTCAACTAAAATAACTGAATCAGGAAAAAGCTTAACCCATACACTGTCAAAACATTTCCAACATTTGAAGAACAAACTGATTTGAAATTATCTATTTTAAAATCTTTACATTTATTTGCTTTTGTTGTTTATTGAGGTATAATTTACACAGTCTATTCTTTTTTGGTGCAGAGGTCTATGAATTTTGAAAAATGTATATAGTGTGCAACCATCAGGAATATTTGTTACATCCTCAAAGTTCTCTCATGCCCCTTTGTAGATAATTTCCTCCCCTCTAATCCCTGGCAATCATTGCTTTGATTCCTATCCCTATAGATTTGACTTTTCTGGAATATTCTAAAAATGGAATATACTATATATAGTCTTTTAAGTCTGGTTTCTTTCACTTGGCACTACTCTTTTGAAAATTCTTTATGTGTGGTGAGTATCCGCTGTTGGTTCCATTATATTGCTGTTTAGTATTCCATTGCACGGATGGACCAAGTGGTCCATCCATGCAATGGAATACTGCTGCTGCTGCTAAGTCACTTCAGTCATGTCCAACTCTGTGCGACCCCATAGATGGCAGCCCACCAGGCTCCCCCGTCCCTGGGATTTTCCAGGCAAGAACACTGGGGTGGGTTGCCATTTCCTTCTCCAATGCAGGAAAGTGAAAAGTGAAAGTTAAGGCGCTCAGTCATGTCCGACTCTTAGCGACCCCATGGACTGAAGCCTACCAGGCTCCTCCGTCCATGGGATTTTCCAGGCAAGAGTACTGGAGTGGGTTGTCATTGCCTTCTCCACAATGGAATACTAAACCACAATAAAAAGGAACATCTGGTTTGTTGCTAGCTTTTGGCAATTATAAATAACATTACTGTAACTGTTTGTGGAGAGATTTTTATGAAAACCCTTCATTTCTCTTGAGTAAACTGCTGGGTTATTTGCTAGTTATTTAGTTTTTTAAGAAACTGCCAAATTGTTTAATCAATTGGCTATACCATTTTGCATAAGAGAGTTTCAGTTGCTCCATGTCTTCCCTTAACATTTGGTAATGTCAATTTTTTATTTGAGCTATTGTCATAGTTGTATAGTGCTATCTTATTGTACTGTCATTTGTATTTTACTAATGATTAATGATGTTGAATATCTTTTCATGTGTTCACATGGCATATTTCTTCACTGGTTAAAAGACTGTTCAGATCTTTTCCCAATTATTTTTTGAGTTGATTTTCATTATTATTTCATTTTCAGTTTTAGAAATATTCTAAATACAGGTTTTTATTATATGTTGTTGCTATTGTTCAGTCTCTTAAGTTCTGTTTGACTTTGCAACCCCATGGACTGTAGCACACCAGGCTTCCCTGTCTTTCACTATCTCCTAGAGTTTGCTCAGATTCAGATCCATTGAGTCAGTGATGCTATCTAACCATCTCACCCTCTGAAGCCCTCTTCTCCTTTTGCCTTCCATCATTCCCAGCATCAGAATCTTTTTGCAATGAGTCAGCTTTTTGCATCACGTGACCAAAGTATTGGAGCTTCAGCTTCAGCACCAGTCCTTCCGATGATCTGACTTCAATGAGTTGCAAACCTAGATCAATTTTAGGTGATAATCAGATCAAGCCATTTCAGGACAGTTCGTACCAGTCTTCATGCTTTCAACAAGATGTGCTGCCAAGTTGAGGGCAATGCAAATTCATCTGAAATGTTCAAATTCAGTTAATGAAGGTGTCTAGATTATCTTTAGACCACACAACCTGTGTGTGCTAAAGTAAGCCCATTGCTCAGTCGTGTCTGACATTTTGTGACCCCGTGGACTGTAGCCCGCCAGGCTCCTCCGTCCATGGGATTCTCCAGGCGAGAATACTGGAGTGGGTTGTCATTTCCTACTCCAGGGGATCTTCCCAACCCAGGGATTGAACTCTGGTCTCCTGCACTGCAGGCAGATCCTAAGTAA